CCCACATCCTGGCCCACGGCCCAGAAGGAACCACGCCTGAGGGACGGAAATCGGCATCAAAGCTCCCGCGCCAGGAAGAGCAGCAGCAGCAGAAGCCGACGTGGAGCTTCTTACGTCTGGGCCTGCACCTCGCCGCCGCGGGAGGCCAGCCTGGGCCCAGGACACGGGGCATGGCCCAGCGTGGGCCTTGACACTCTGGCGGAGGGGTTACAGGTCGGGTATGCGGTGGGGCGGGAGGCGGGAGGGGAACGACGGGGTTTCCAAGGCTGTGGCAGTCGGGAGAAAAGGAGGAGGATGTTTATGATATCCTTTGTGCTGGGCATGGGAGCCTAGCTGTGTCACCCACCCCATACTCTCAGTAGCCCTGTGGGTGGTCCTCTGACCCCCATGTTACAGATGAGGAGACGAGGCACGAGGGTAAGTGCAAGCTCGAGGTCATGCATCGGCAAGCGGCAGGGCAGGGACTGGAACCCAGTTCTGGGGGACGCTGGGCCCTGGGTGACCCCCACCCCCACCTGCAACTAAAATAGCGGCCCCCCGCCATCCTTGTGTCCGTGCGTCTGTCCGGCTGCTAGTATCTACTTGATAGACCCGCACTGCCTGTGCAAGCATCCATGGCTCACATAGAAAGGAACCGGGCCTGCTGGGCCCGGAAGGCAAGTATCAGACGCCATGAGTGTCACATGAACGTCACTGCAGTGAAACCCAGCGACAGCCCGAAATTAGGGCTGGACTGTGTCCTGGGGGAGGCTCTGTGTCCGGGCCACGCCTCCTCCTGTGGCGGGAGGGTTACTGAGCCGGTCAGCTCCGCTGAGACGCCGGCCTTGACCAGTCAGGGTCAGGAGAGAGACGATGCTGAGTGAGGGTCTCGCGGTGGGACTCGGTCATCTGAGAGTGTCCCTCCCGGCCCCTGGGGCAGCCAGCTGTGCCCAGAGCCTCCTTTACCGGGAGGAGCAGGGCCCACAAATCACGTCCCCTCTCTGCGCGCTGGGCACCAGGAAGGGGTGGAGGGACAGAAGCCGGGACTCTAGGTCCCGGGGCTGCTGTCAGCCGGGCTCCTCTCTGTCCCCCACCCTGGGGCGGGGTCTCTGCCCCCCGAGTCCCAGGAGCTGGTGCAGAACCCCCACAGTGCCCACTCACCTCCGTGGGGTCGTCTTCATTTGAAATGTTGACCAGGTAGAAGAGCTTGGCGTGCAGGCTACCATTGGGAGGGTACGGGTCGCTCCAGGTCAGCTGCCACGTGTGGGAGTCGGTGGCGTTAACCGTGAGGTTTCCGGGGGCCCTGGGTTTCACTGGGGAGAAGCGGGGCCTGGTGAGGGCTTGTGGGGCCTCTGAACGGGCCATTGAGGTTCTCAGTCAACACCACCTCCGCACACATGTGTAAGGCACCACGCAGATTCACAGTCATAACAGTTCCAATCCTAGCACTCATCCTAGCGTCGCTCCACTTCCACCTGGAGCCACAGGGAACCCAAAACGGAACCCAAACTTCAGCGTTTGCACCTTCGTCCTTCACACTTCTGGCTGAATCTGTGAGCTATATTACGTACTACGTATTTTTCTTTATTTTGATTCATGTGTTTAAACTTAGGCTCGTTTTAAGCAATCATATCAGTGAGATCACAAGTATATGATACGCATTGAAATCATGCCCTAGCCGGTTTGGCTCAGTGGATAGAGCATTGGCCTGTGGACCAAAGGGTCCCAGATTCGATTCTGGTCAAGGGCACGTACCTCCCTTGCAGGCTCCTCCTCCACCAGGGCCCTGGTCGAGCCTCATGCAGGAAGCAACCAATTGATGTGTTTCTCTCTCATCGATGTTTCTCTGTCTCTTTTCCTCTCTCTTTCACTCTCCCTAAAAATCAATGGAAAAATCCTCAGGTGAGGATTTTTTTTAAAAAGTCAACAAACACGTGTGAAAATTATCTTAATTCATGGGTTTGTTCATGGGTCAATTTGAATAACCCTGGACCACCAGTGAGCAGGATGAGCGGGCCCTTCAGGAACGGCTGTTGGAGTGGTGGAGGCTGCAAGACACTGCCTTTCCTGCTCAGTAGCTGTGTGACCTTAGGCAGGTTATTGCCTTCTCTGCACTACAGTTTATTCAACTGCAAAATGGGCATAAGAACTCTCTTCTGGAAACTGAGGCTCAGAGAGGTAATGTGACTTACTCAAGGTCACACAGCAATAAAGGTGTTTTATTTTTTTAGAATCTTTATTGTCCCCATTTTTCCTATTGACCCCATCTAGCCCACCCCCGCCTCCTGCCCCAGGCCTCCACCGCCCTATTGTCTGTGTCCATGGGTTATGCATATATGCATACAAGTCCTTTGGTTGATCTCTTCCCACCCACCCCTGCCTTCCCTCTGAGATGCGACAGTTTGCTCCAATGCCTCTATGTCTTTGGATCTATTATTTTTTCTATTTATTTTATGCCATTTTTTTTCACTTATAAGATTTATTTTCTTACATATAAGTGAGGTCATGTGATATTTGTCTTTCTCTAAATGGCTTATTTCGCTTAGCATAATACTCTCCAGGTCCATCTATGCTGTCAAAAAGGGTAAGAGATCCTTCTTTTTTACTGACGCATAGTATTCCATTGTGCAAATGTACCACAGCTTTTTTATCCACTCATCTACTGATGGGCACTTGGGCTGTTTCCAGATCTTCGCTATTATAAGTTTTGCTGCTATGAACATAGGTGTGCATATGTTCTTTTAATTTTTATTTTTCCAAAATATGTTTTTCTTGATTTCAGAGAGGAAGGGAGAGGGAGAGAGAGCTAGGAACATCAATTATGAGAGAGAGTCATTGAACAGTTGCCTCCTGCATGTCCCACACTGGGGATGGAGCCTGCAACCAGGCATGTGCCCTGGCTGGAAATCAAACTGGGACCTCCTGATTCATAGGTTGATGCTCAACCACTGAGCTATGCCAGCTGGGCTATATGTTCTTTCTGATTGGTGTTTCAGGCTTCTTAGAATGTATTCCTAGAACTGGGGTCACTGGGTCCAATGGCAGTTCCTTTTTTAATTTTTTGAGGAGACGCCACACTGATTTCCGTAGTGGCTGCACCAGTCTGCATTCCCACCTTGGTGTATTAGGGTTCCTGTTTCTCCACATCCTCTCCAGCACTTATTGTTTGTAGATTTGTTGATGGTAGCCATTCTGACAGGTGTGAGGTGGTACCTCATTGTCATTTTAATTTGCATCTCTGATGATTAATGACACTGAGCATGTTTCCATGTCTCGTGGCCATTTGTATGTCCACTTTGGAGAAGTGTCTATGTAGGTCTTCCGTTCATTTTTTATTGGGTTGTTTTTCTTTTTATATATTTTGGATATTAACCCCTTATCAGATAGACCATTGGCAAATATGTTCTCTCATACAATGGGCTCCCTTTTCACTTAGATGCTGTTTTCTTTTGCTTTGCAGAAGCTTTTTATTTTATTTTGATGTAGTCCATTTATTTTTTTCTTTGGTTTCTCTTGCCCTAGGCATTGTATCAGTGAGAATTTTGCTACATGAAAGGTCTGATATTTTGTGGCCTATGTTTTCTTCAAGGATTTTTATGTTTCACAACTTACATTTAAGTATTTTATCCATCTTGAGTTTATTCTTGTGTATGGTCTAAGTTGGTGGTCTAATTTCATTTTTTTTTTGCATGTATCTGTTCAATTTTCCGACACCATTTATTGAAGAGACTGTCTGTACTCCATTGTATGCTCTTGCCTCCTTTAGTGAAGATTAGTTGAGTATAATGACTTGGGTTGACGTCTGGGGTCTCTGTTCTCGTCCATTGATCTATATGCCTGTTCTTGTGCCAGTATCAGGCTTTGTAGTATAGCTTGATATCTGGTCTTGTGATCCCTCTAACTTTGTTCTTCTTTCTCAGGATTGTTGCGGCTATTCTGAGTCTTTTTTTGATTCTATATAAATTTTTGGAGTGTTTGTTCTAGATCTGTGAAGTATGCTGTTGGCAATTTAATAGGGATTTCATTCAATCTATATATTGCTTTGGGTAGTGTAGACATTTTAATGATGTTAATTCTACTAATCCACGAACATGTAAATTCTTCCACTTGTTTATATCCTCTTCTATCTCTTTTTTCAATGTTCTATAGTTTTCTGAGTACAGGTCTTTTACCTCCTTGGTTAAGTTTATTCCTACATATCTTAATTTTTTTGTAGCAATGGTAAATGGGATATTTTTAGTTTTTCTTTTTGAGAATTCAGGGGGCAGGTGCTCAACACAGGAGCTGCCCCCTGGTGGTCAGTGTGCTCTCACAGCAGGAGTGCTGCTCAGCCAGAAGCCGGGCTCATGGCTCGAGAGCACAGCTGTGGTGGTGGGAGCCTCTCCCGTGTCTGCGACAGCAAGTGGCAGCAGGCACAGCGAGGCTGGGATGAGCAGCAGTCACCTGCCGCTTCAGCACTGCTACATCCCTTGAGGGGATGTTGGACTGCTGGGTTTCGGTAGTCCAAGATCCCCCAAGGGGTCCTGGATTGCAAGAGGATGGAGGCCAGGCTGAGGGGCCCCACCTGTGCATGAATCCATGCACCAGACCTCTAGTTGTTGTATAAGAACGCCAACGATTTCTGGGTGTTAATTTTGTATCCTGCTACATGGCCCAAATCCTTTATTAAGTCTAGTCGTTTTTTGGTGGAGTCTTTGGAGTTTTCTATGTACAATATCATGTCATCTGTGAATAATGACTGTTTTACAACCTCCTTTCCAATTTGGATGCCTTTTATCTTTTCTTCTTGTCTGATCGCTATTGCTAGGACCTCCAGTACTATGTTGAATTAAAAGTGGTGGAAGTCCTGTCTTGTTCCAGTTTTTAGGGGAAATGGTTTTAGTTTTTGTCCATTGAGTATGATGTTGGCTGTAGGTTTGTCATATATGACCTTTATTATGTTGAGGGTATGATTCCTATGACTTTGCTGCGAGTTTTTATATCAAAAATGGGTGTTAGGCTTTGTCAAATGCTTTTTCTGCATCAATTATATATATGATCATGTGATTTTTGTATTTCAGTTTGTTTATGTGATATATTAGGTTTATTGATTTGTGGATATTGTCCCAGCCCTCCATCCTGG